GCCAAAGTGAACACTTTTCCACTGTTTGCGCCTTCTTTGGTTTCTGACACTGACTACCAATGTGTCCTTCTTCACCACAGTTGAAGCAAATCATCTCTTTATGCTTGCACTCAGATATAACATGTCTAGTCTTACCACAACGGAAACACCTCTTCACCTCAGCAGTACACACGTTTCTCTTATGACCAGGTTTTCCACATTTGAAACAAACCACACCAGCAGGAGCATCTCCCCCACTAGTTCTCTGACCCTGAGAAACTTTCTGTTTACCTTTACTAGCTGGGGCATCGTAAGACTTACCACGGTTTTGTTGGTGCTTACCCCTCTTCTCATTGACAATCTTATAGTGAGAATTATTATCCTCTTCATAAATCCTGCAACTATCAATAAAATCAGCAAAGACACGAATCTTCTGGTATCCAGCTGCCTTCTTGATCTCTGGGCGCAACCTGTCTCAAACTTAATGCACTTTGAAAACTCAACATTTGCCTCGCTATAATGCGGGTAAAACTTAGCCAACTCAACAAACTTTGCATCATATTCAGTAACCGATATACTCCCTTGCTTTAGCTCAAGAAACTCAACTTCCTTCTTACCACAAACATCTTCAGGGAAATACTTCCTCGGAAATTCCCTACGAAACACAACCCAAGTGATATTTTCACCCGCAACCTCCAATTTCTGACAAGTCTCTAGCCACCAGTCATCAGCCTCAACTGCTAGCATATGAGTATCATACCGAACCTTCTGCGCTAGAGTGCAGTCCATCACACAGAAGATTTTATCAATCTCTTTCAACCAATCCAACGCTCCATCAGGATCATACTTACCCTTGAAGGTAGGCGGATTCTCCCTCTGGAAGATCGCCAAGCTACGAGATCCAACATCCTCGTTAGTGTTTGGTTGATTCTCCATAGCATACGCCATAACTTCCAAAGTAGCAGCAAGTGCAACATCATTCCTTCCAGCCATCTTAACTTATCACTTCAACATAAACAACAATTAGAACTCAAGTTAACAGTACTCGATTATTAGACAAAACTATGACTCGACAACTTGGTCGGACGGGCCGACCTGCTATGATACCACTAATGTAACACCCAATTTCTATCCAATGATTTATATAAAATCAGAGTTACAAAATTTCCACAACCAAATGAAATGCTACACTTTCAACTTGAAAACAACGAAATTCAATCACCTATAGTTCAGATACATAACACATAAAATTCCGATGAACCGATAATAATCTGTTTAATCTTTAAAAATAAAACAAATTTTATATTTAATCAGCATAATCACCATTTTCAACTCAAATGACATAACGTCTTTGTCCAACTGAAACCAACTTCAAATCAACAAGTACTTAATGAAAACAACTCAAAATTCAGCAACGAAAGTAAAATCAGCAATAAAGCAACAGACGTTCATCCCCCTGAGTGTTACGTATCAGAGCGACAACACCGACTCGAACCACTAAAGGTAAATAATCTTCACTCTGGATTACCTGCACGTTACCAATACGGGGTAACATTCAAACAGAAGGGGTGAGATATCGAACAATATAATAGGATGCATGATAAATAATATATTAGAATCAGGTCATACAAAATCGCCACTTCGCAACTCTTTAACAATATTTAACATAATTAATTCATCCATACAACAACTCAGGATGTAACATGAAATGCAACTTATTTTTATGGACATGCATGTGGTATCAATGGAGAAAATCTCACAACTTAATAATCTGCCAATTAATAGAGGCATCAACAAGGCATAAGCCTTCAACTTAATTTGCCAATCTAGGCCAACTTACCGAGTATCAGCTCCAACTTGATATGATATGTATGCGACAACAATATGAATGATGTAACAACAACAACAATAATTCAACAACAACTCAATACAATTCAACATTGGCCATAAGCCTACAACTTAATATCTGCCAATAATTAGAGGAATCTCAACAAAATTCATCATCACCTTCCAAATCTTAAATTATAACAAAGTATATAATACACTATATTAACCAAAATATTCTACGACGCCCTGCATAATTATTTAGGTAATTCGACTATTTACTGCTAGTCACTTATTAATTATATTATCTCTCCTGCTACTTACTTATTTTGACTAGAATTCATTAATCATCTAAGGATAGAATACCTTAAGAATTCTAATTATACTGAGAATGTTAAACTTAATTAAATAACTAAATAGCTCGCACAAAAGCGTTAAGGGATGAGAAAAGAGTATGTGCCCTTTAACGGGCACGAGAATAATAGTAGGGACATTAATAACGACGTGTACCCCTTGATATAATGGTCGTGCCTCTCGATACCTTCCCTTTATGCCTTTGTATCGGCTGACACCCCATACTTCTCGGCACATCGTGCAGCCTTGTACCGCTCGACACGACTACCTATTCCCTCGATGCACCTTGCAGCCTTGTGTCGCTCGACACCTAGCACCTGTGTTCCTTGACACATCTTGCAGCCTTATGCCGCTCGACGCAATTACCTGTGCTCCTCGGCCCGACGCGTCTTCACATTTTTGTACAGAATTCATCCCGTCTGTGATGAACGTTAACCTAGCCTTACGGTATTCTCTTCGACCGTTACTTTTCCGACCAACCGCACAGAATAACATAGCAACGGGTAACTATATCTCCTATTAACAGATTCATCAATTGTACATCACAGTCATGCATAAAATTCCTAGACGACCACAACGTGAAAACGGGCAACTTTTAAGAACAAGCCCAGAAAATCAACGCACAACAATCATATCCACGACCAAACCCCTACACAATATTCATCATAAACCCCATTATAAAGTCAGAACCCCACTCTTATCTTTGATTGAAGATCGCTCGACAGCTCTCCGACCGGAACCTCGCTTTGCCTCTTCTCCTTATTCCTCTTATCTACAACTTCTCACGGCCAATTTTTCCAACAACTCCTCAATTAACCCTATACTTTATTTAAATAAAATCTCACAATATTATTATTCTTAGTGGGCTTAACAACACCCCCTATATTTCTACTTCCAACCATTAAAATAGGCCCAACATAATTATTCTAGTATTCTACTAATTCTAATATTATTACTACTATTAATCAACTAATTAATTAACTAGTAATAATCTAACAATTTATACCAACAATTCACAACATCTCACAACTTCTACGAATAATTCGAATATAATTAGTTAAATAATTAATTAAATTAACGGGCGTTACACAATACACCGGTTACACCAACCTAAATTGGACGTTATCAACACAAGTCTAGATGTCACCCAAACAAAATATGATTATGTGTAGTTTGTTTGTGTGTGTGCATAGATGAGAGGTTGAAGATGATGAGCAATCTTTTTATGTATTTATAGTTTCATCGAATTGAAAATAGTGCATGTATGGAGTATTTATATGTGTGCAAGTTGGAGGAAAAAGGGGAACTTAAAAGTTGGAAAAAGAATGTAAAATTTCAAATAAAAATTGAAGCATGTGTTGACACATGTGTTGACTTATACGAGTTATGTGTTGACTCATTCTGATACATGTGTTGACACATACGAGTTATGTGTTAACTCATTCTGATACATGTGTTGTCGCATGTATGTCATGTGTTGACTCACTCTGAAACAGAACCTGTACGCTTTGAAATAGATCATCATGTGTCAACACATAAAGCATTTTTAGGTCGACACATAGAAATAGAAGCTAGAGGCTTTAATATTGATCCACATGTGTCAGCACATAAAACTATTTCTGTGTAGTAACTGATTTTTAATGCAAAGGTGCACATAATGACTCAAAGATACCGTCTAATATACATAAATGTCAAATTATGCTAAAATTATTCTAGTTTTGGCATCATACAAAACATCTAATGAGCAAGTACACTCACACACCAAACGCAAAAAAAAATATTAAAGTTATACTTGAGGGGTAAGAAACCTAAATCAAGAAATATCATTTATACTTAATTTTTGTACCTTTAAACTTTATATTTATAACTTATTTATACTACAAATTCTTTTATCAAAGTTGTTGAAGGATATCATTTATTAAGAGGTATTAAGAATAAAATATCTAATTGAAAGATTGTCAAGATAAGTGATTTGTTTTATTATATTGCTAGTTTTTCAAATATTAGTTCTTCAATTTAAAATCAATGAATGATTACAATATTATATTAATAGTTACCAAACTCGCCCCTATTTATATGTTTAATTTGTGATGCTCATATTTTTTTTCTTTTCATTTGGTTTCTTCATGTGGATCAATTAATTAACTTCGTTGTGCTTGTTTTTGTAATTGAAACAGAGTCACTGTTGGGAATATATGTGTATCTAACCAAATGTGTCTATTTGTTTCAAGTTTGTGCTTTCAATTTTTAATGTTGTGAAATCGGAAAGTAAATTACATTGTTGCTATCTTGCAAAATAATCGAATCCTATTTAGTATATTAGAACATTTGTGAACTTTATCTCAACTAACTTTTAAGTTTAATAAAATATAGTATATTATATGCATTGTGAATATTGAAAATAAAAAAAGAAACTAATATATTGTAAGAAAATAACTTGAAGAAATGAATTAAAGATAAATCTTAAACTGAAGCCAGAGACTCATCTCATTCCATTACCACAATTCTTTGATCAGACACATAGCTCAAACAATTACATAGAACAACAATGACAATAAATGATATAAATTACAAACAACCACTTTGCATAGGCCCACTTACATGTGATATGAAAATAGTATAAATCAGAACTTTTATTCCAATTTTAATATTGAATGAATATTCTCAATACCATATATCTTAGTCATTATTATTATTATAGATAAAAATTTATTTTTAAATTTACTAAATATTTAATATATTTGATTTATATATAACTCAAATATATTAATTATTCATCGAATTTAAACAACAAATTTTTATTAATAATAATGACTAAAAATATATAATATATTAAAATTTAATTAAATATCTCTGTCTCTTATACACTCTGAAGGAATTTGAGGATAACGTTTACGGTCGGTACAATAATTATAAATAATATACTTTGAATGCACCCATTTTAACCTTTGCCATTGAGCAGCATCAAGATCATGAAATTCAGGTTGATCCCACCATCTTTTTCCTTGTGTGTCACAAAATTTTGCATTGACAGAAGCTTCACAACCATCAACATGAAAGCCTTTGTAAGAAGCTATAAATGGTGCTTTAGACCAATCTGTTTTCTCCAAACCACCCCTTGTGGCCCAATCATCAGCATTCCATAAACTATTGTATATTTTCATTGGTTGATTAAATGGATATTTTATTCCCAAGTCATTGCTGTTCTTGAATACCCTAACTGGGATATCATCCACAAAGAAACTGCATAATCCACATTTGAGTTTTTATAAGACAAAAATATATATAATATTACTCAATATTTATTTTTTTTAAATAAAATTATGTTTAATTGGATATTCTTAATCTCATTTCAATAACATTTTGTTTTTTAATTTTTTACTAAATTTTTTAAAATAAAAATATAAAAAGAAAATTTAATTAATCAAAATTAAACTAATAATAACTTTTCCATTATCATTAAAATAATATTATAATAGTGATTTAGATTTAAAATTTTGATGTGTGTCATTTTCTTAAGATTAATAAAAAATATTAATAAATACTTACACAATCTGAAACATGTTCCACAGCACAGAATATCTGTGATAAGCTTTTGTAGGATCAAACCAAAGATAGATTCTTTGTTCTCTATCACCTTTGCCTCCTGAGAACACATTTGTTTGCAAAATGTAAGGTTCACCTGTTCTATTCCCTAAGAACTCAAAATCTATCTCATCATGTTCTCCATTTTGAGAAGATAACTGCAAAATAAATTCAAAATAAATCAGGGGAAACAACAAAAATAAATAAAATCTTGATATAATTTTTTCAGTAGTAATATTAATTAAAGTCAAATATTTTTAATAATTATGTATAAATTAATTCTATTAAATAATTAAGAAAAAATGTTTATCTTACATAGAAAGCAGTGACTGTGCCAGCTGAATCACCAGCTACCATTTGTATGTACATACTAAAGTGACCAAATAAATAAGACCCTTTAGATTGGAAGCCAGTACCTGTTAAAAAAATATGCATCAATCTTTATATATATAATTCTATTTGCTTTAGAAAAAAACATCAATATTTACATTAAATTTCTAATTTACCTCATAATATAAATATTAATGATATAAAAATTTATATCACTTTTTACTTACACTTTATTTATTTAAAATTTGACTTTAACTCATTCATATAAAATTGACTTATTAAGTGAAAGATATTGGTTAATATAATTATTTTCCAATCATTATATATAAACTAATATAGAACTTGAGGTTTGTCTAATACGGAGAGAGTAGAAAATAAAATGTATTTAAATAAAAAATGAATTACATAATATTTTGAATAGGATTATTTCTAAAAGAGGAAACCTAGGAAAAACAAATCTTTGTCCAAGAAACAACTCTTGAATAAAAATTTAATAAGAAAATTACATACCTGTGTACTTATCAAGGGTAAGCTGAATTTGAGAGCCACCATTTAAATATTTGATATGATCATAAGCCCAAGTTGGAACATAATTACGACCAAACGGAACATCAATAGGAGTTCTTGGATTGGCAGCAAAGGAAACATATGAAAGTGATGATAACAAAATAAGACAAGTTAACAAATAGGAAAAAGAAGAAGAAGACATGTTTTTTTTTTGTGTGATGATTTTGTGAATAAAATAAAACAAAGTATATATAGACACTGATAGAATACAAGAGTGGAGAAGAAAGAGAGAGAAGAGTAACTGAATCTGTTATATATTTTCACAGTTACAGCAAATCCTTATATAGAAGGGCCTAGGGATAGAAAGGGAATTAGACACATGAGTCTAATTCCTACTAACTATTACAATAATACCCTCCTATCTCTAATACTCCCCCTTCAAACTTAGGGTGGTTGATCAAGTTTAAACTTGTCAACAACACGTAGTTTGCTCTTGAGAAACTGAAATCTGGCTGTGGAGAGAGGTTTGGTGAGCACATCTGCCCATTGGCTTGCTGCAGGAATGTGAGTCACAACAAGGGCTTTGCTCAGCACTTTCTCCCTGACAAAAAAGATGTCTAATTCCATGTGTTTGGTCCTAGAATGCAGCACAGGATTGTGAGCCAAGGAAACTGCACTAAGATTATCACATAGCACCTTTGGAGTTTGGTACTGCACCTGTAACTCTTGTAAGAGAGACTGCAGCCATAAAATTTCTGCTGTGGCAAGAGCTAAGCTTCTATATTCTGCTTCAGCACTAGATCTTGCCACCAATGTTTGCTTCTTTGCCCACCAGGTCACCAAGTTAGGACCTAAGAATATGCAAGCACCAGAGGTGGACCTCCTGTCATCAACATCAGAGGCCCAGTCAGCATCACAAAATCCTGTAATAGTGAGAGGTGCAGACTGATTGGCAGGGGAAAGAAATAAGCCATGAGAGGCAGTCCCTTGAAGATATCTCAAGATCCTTTTAACAGCTTTCCAGTGGTCTTCTAAGGGATTAGACAGAAATTGGCACACTTTATTGACAGCAAAAGATATTTCTGGCCGAGTCACTGTAGCATACTGTAACGCGCCTACCACAGATCTGAAGTATGTGGGATCAGTCACCTGTGCAGAGCCAACTTTGGATAACTTGGTGCTAGAAGCCATAGGGGATGCTATGCCTTTTGCAGCAGCCATATTGGTTCTGTGCAGAAGGTCTCTTATATATTTGCCTTGAGAAAGAAGTAAAGAGCCATTAGAAAGGTGAGTAACTTCTATACCCAGAAAATAGTCCAGCTGCCCAAGATCTTTGAGAGAGAAAGCCATATTCAGTTTGTTAACAAGCTGCTTAATGAAAGCTGAAGATACGCCAGTGATAATTATATCATCTACATAGACAAGCACCAAAGTGTAGCAGGATGGTGTGAGAAGCATGAACAAAGAAGGGTCACACCTGCTGGCAGTGAAGCCTAACTGAAGGAGAGCGCCTTTGAGCTTATCAAACCAAGCACGAGGTGCTTGTTTAAGGCCATACAAGGCTTTATGGAGCTTGCATACAAGTCCAGATTCACCTTTTTCAAAGCCTGGTGGCTGCACCATATAGACTTCCTCATTTAGCACCCCATTAAGAAAGGCATTATTAACATCAATCTGTTGAATGGTCCATTTTCTGGAGATGGCCAGAGTTAGAACAGTTCTAACCGTAACAGGTTTGACTACAGGTGAGAAAGTCTCAGTGTAGTCAAACCCTTCAACTTGATGAAAGCCTTTTGCCACCAATCTGGCCTTGTACTTGTTAATAGTCCCATCAGGATTCTCCTTAACCCTGAAAACCCACTTGCAGCCAATAGGTTTTCTGTTGGCAGGAGCAGGGACAAGAGACCAAGTGTGATTCTGAAGTAAGGCATTGTACTCAACTTGCATTGCTTCTTGCCATTCCGGAACAGTGAGAGCTTGCTTGTAGGAAGAGGGCTCAAAGTGAGTAAGAAGAAGTGTAGGATGCCGCTTTGGCTGCACTATGCCATGTTTGGACCTTGTGAGCATAGGGTGAATGTTAAGAGGATTTGCAGGAGGACCAGGAGCTACTGCAGTGGAGGAATCAGAAGCGGCAGGAGTAGAGAAACCGGAGGCAGGAACAGCAGGTGAAGAGAGAGCCTGTTCATGGCTAACAGCTGCAGTTGCAGGCAATTCTGTGACTGATGCAGTGGTGTCTGAGACTGGAGCAATGGTTGAGGCAGAGGCTAGAGAAGCTAACTCATGAGCTTCAGAAGAGGCAGTGTTGGAGTCTGAGACAGAACTATTATGAGATATGACAGGGGTAATGAGGCCAGCATGACTCTGAGATTGTGATGGAGGTACAGCAGTGAGAGGCACAGGTAAAGGAGTAAAATAACCTTGAGAGTTTGCAGAACAAGGTGTAGGACTAGTAGGGGAGGATGAAGAGGAAAACATGACTGAATAAGGGAACCTACACTCATTGAATTTAACATCCTTGGAGATGTAAATTCTGCCAGAAGCATCCAAACATTTGTAGCCTTTGTGACTAGGTGAATAGCCAAGAAAGAGACACTCTTTGGAGTGCATAGCAAGTTTATGTGAATTGTAAGGTCTGAGGTGAGGAAAACAGGAGCAGCCAAAGGTCTTTAAGAATTTGTAGTCAGGATATTTGAAGTATAGCAAGAAATAAGGAGATTTATTGTGCAAGTTGGGTGAGGGCAGCCTATTGACGAGATAAGTTGCAGTGAGGAAAGCATGATCCCAAAACTTTAAGGGAAGATTTGCTTGAGCTAAGAGAGTGAGACCAGTTTCAACAACATGACGATGTTTCCTCTCAACAGACCCATTTTGGTGATGGGTGTGAGGGCAGGTAACCCGGTGTATGATGCCATGCATATTCAAAAAATGTGTCAAGGGTTTAAACTCTCCTCCTCCATCAGTTTGCACAGATTTAATTTTCATATTCAGCTGTAGTTCGACAAGTGCTTTAAACTGCACAAAGGTGGCTAAGGTATCAGATTTTAGCTTAAGGGGGTAAATCCAGGTGTACCTGCTAAAAGCATCTACACAAGTAAGGAAGTATGTAAAGCCAGAAACAGATGTAAGTGGTGCAGGCCCCCACAGATCACAGAAAATAAGTTCAAGAGGCTTGCTATAGACAGTTTCAGATAATGAAGAAGGCAGTCTATGCACTTTGCCCAGACAACAAGCATTGCAAAAATTACTGAATTGTTTATGTGGTACAGGAATATTACAAAGTTGAAGAATCTGTTTCAAAACCTCATGATGAGGATGGCCAAGTTTATTATGCCACATTTGATACACATTAGAAATAGAGCCTAAGTCCCTATTATTACATGTAGAGCTGAATACAGATTTAGAAAATGAATTTGAGATCCTAGACTTAGACTGCAGATGACTGCTGACAGCACTAAGAACTTGAGGAGAAGTAGGCTGAGAGACTGAATCAAACTTGTAGAGACCATCACTTCCAAGTGAACCCTTTAAGAGCACTCTAGAAGTATCCTGACATTTCACAAAACAAGCATCAGCATGAAATTCAAAGAAGACAGCATTGTCTTTGGCAAACTGACTCACACTTAAGAGATTTTTAGTGATAGATGGCACAAGCAGCAGATTATTAAGTTTGAGAGAAGACTTAGGACACAAATTAGAAGGAAATTGCATAGAGCCAACAGAGGTGATAGACAGACCTTGGCCATTGCCTATGTGAACCTGGTCAGATCCAGATAGAGACACAGAATCAGCAAGATTTGTGGCATCTGGTGTCACATGGTGAGAGGCACCTGAGTCAGGGTACCAGGCCTGATTGTAGAAGGAGGAACAATCAGTTCCAGCAATCAATGCTTGAGGCCTAGGAGTAGGATATTGAGCAGGCATGGACGCAGCAGCAGGTCTAGCAGAGTTCATGGTGTGAGGTGCTGAGGCTCGAAAACCAGGCTGAGTCCACACATTGGGCTGAGCAAAGACATAATTGCCATAGTTGCCATAAGGAGGATATGAGCCATAAGCATCCTGAGAGTGACGAAAATAGCAGTAGCTAGCATCATGACCTACTTTAGAGCATATTTGGCACTGAACAGAGTTTCTAAAGCCACTGCGACCACCGCGACCTCTGAACCTTCCACCTCTATTGTTTCGGCCACGAAAATTGCTACCTCTTCCATAGCCAGAAGAAACACCACCATTGGAATCAGGAATCTCAGCAGATTGAGGACTGAAACTGGACTTCTCTTCATTCCCTTGCGTGAGATTCACTGAAACAGTTTCCACGACGTTCTTCTTGGCTCTATCAATTCGCGCTTCTTGATCAAGAAGAAGCGACTCAAGCTCATCAATCGAGATGAAATCAGACTTCGTATTGACAGCAGCGACAACTGGATCAAATTCCGACGGCAGTGCCTCAAGAATCAATTCGATTTGATCGCGGTGAAGAACCGGATCGCCGATGGACATCAACGTGTCAACAATAGTGCGAACACGTGCAAGAAATTCCGAAACGGTGCGAGTACCTTTTGAGAGAGAACGGAGCTCTGATCTGAGTTGACGCGACCTTGTTTTCATCTGCGTATTGCAGAACGCATGAATTTCGTCCCACACTTGCCACGAATGGCGCAGAAGAACAAAGCGAGAGAGAAGAGAATCAGAGATCGTGGACAAGAGCCACGTACAGAGAAGAGCGTCTTGCTCCTCCCACGCGACATAGTTCGGATTCTCAGTTCCGACGTCGCGATCAGCAACAGTGAGGTAGCGTTCCGGTACTTGAGGAGAAACGACGAAGCGAACCATTTTGGTGCCACGAAGAACGCCTTCGACCTGTTGCTTCCATTGACGATAGTTGGTGTCGTCGAGTTTGACAGAGATCTTCTGCTTGAAGGTAGTTGTTGCAGCGAAGGAGCTACCACCGGTAGCGTTTGAAGAGTCTGGTGAAGCCATAGCCATAGGAGCCACGGATCAGAGAGAAGCTCTGATACCATGATAGAATACAAGAGTGGAGAAGAAAGAGAGAGAAGAGTAACTGAATCTGTTATATATTTTCACAGTTACAGCAAACCCTTATATAGAAGGGCCTAGGGATAGAAAGGGAATTAGACACATGAGTCTAATTCCTACTAACTATTACAATAATACCCTCCTATCTCTAATAGACACAAGATCCTA